TACATGTATATATATTTACATATATGTGTGTATATATATGTACATATATTTATATGCATATATATATATATATATATATAATATATATAATATATATATATATATATATATATATATATATATATATGTACATGTATGAACCGTATTCATGTGGACAAATGTGGAAAGGTATGAATGAGAACGAATATCTTCACAATACAAGAGATGTATTTGACCGGTTATATCTTCGTCAGAAATACATGTATTTCTGACGAAGATATAACCGGTCAAATACATCTCTTGTATTGTGAAGATATTCGTTCTCATTCATACCTTTCCACATGTACATGTATATACAAGTATAAATGTATACATGAATATAATGCATATGTGTTTACAGGTTTACATATGAATATGCTTATGTGTGTATGTATATATTTTTTTCATATTTGTCTTGTATGTGTCATGTATCTTGTGCACGTATAATTGTATTGTGCCCATATATTGAATCATATTAACAATTGTGTTTATACATGTCCACATGCATTTAGTCACCGAAGAGTTATTTACTAGGCTTACCCCTTTCCTCGATGTTTTTATGTTCGTATTTGAATATCTTTTGGTGAAATCATTTTACCGAAAATTCAATTAACGAAATGAACGACCAAGGTGTAAACTATGAAAAGGGCAAACAATCCCCGCCTGCCGCCTGCCCCCCCCCCCCTCCTCTCTCTCTCTCTCTCTCTCTCTCTCTCTCTCTCTCTCTCTCTTCTCTCCTCTCTCTCTCTCTCTCTCTCTCTCTCTCTCTCTCTCTCTCTCTCTCTCTCCCTCCCTCTCCTCCCCTCCCTCCTCCCTCCCTCCCTCCCTCCCTCCCTCCCTCCCTCCCTCCTATGGGCAAGGACATTTCTTATTGTAAACGTTGGTGTCGCTGATCGCTGCCAGTGTATGTCTTGTGTGTGTTTTTTCCCTGCGGTTTCTACAACTTATCAGTGTGTGTGCGTGCGCGCTGGACCATTGGAAGTTGTCAAGAATAACTACGAATTTCGGCAAAAATCTGGGATACAATGTTTCTTGAAAGTGTGTAGGTTGTTTGTTTCTTGTCCGTGTGAACGGTCCGGCCAGGCGGGGATTGGGTTCCAATTTGCGGTTTCTCATGTGCGACTTTTGTTTGTTTTGCACGATGAGGTCTTGGCAAATGAAAAGAAATGCAGAAAGAGGAAACGGCTCGTTTGTTTTGGACTCTTGGTAGTACATACAGTACATACATGTACACTTGGACAAAATCACATACAAGCATCAACGCGCTCGCGCAAAGCCGATGACACCTGGGCGCATACGCGCCCGTTAATCGAGTGCTCTTTTTTATGGATGTGTATCTCTTGCTGATGTTTTGTGTGCGCCAAGTGGTTTTCCAAGCCACGTGGCCCGGCGTTGCGTCATCGAGGTCGGGGGGGAGGGAGGGGGTTTGATGCCGGTACATACTTCCTCGCCTCCCCTGCCCCTCCCACCCGGGGCCCCGTGCTACCTCACTGCGTGGAGACGGGGGAGGGAATGCTAATGCCGGCCTGATCTTCGTTTCATCTGCTACACGCTCAGACACGCAGACGCGCGCGCACTTAATTACACACGAACGTTTCATTTTCGCCCGGGCTTGAAAGGAGGATGCGATATTTGCAGAGGAGGACGGAGAGAGAAACAAAAGAAAAAGGAGGAGTACTAGAGAGAGGGGAATGGCTGTGGTAGGAACGTGGGGGGAGTGGGGGATTAGGGAGAAGCTTGAGAGATGTAAACAAATATACGAGCACTCTTGCAAAGCGGCGAGTGCCTTAGTTATGTGGATTTATTGCTCGTCACGGGTGGGGGTGGGGGGCGGTATGGGAGTAAATGATAGGGGAGGGGATGAAAGGGGGATAGTAATAGTAAAGGGTCACGTGGTCGACGTTGCCCTCCTTTTGCTTTGGAGAAGGCGGCGGGTAAGGAGGCACTGTGGGGAGGGTGTCTTCCTTACCACACACAAGAGCTGTCAAGCCTATCTGCTAGGTCCTCTTCTGAATGGTCCTCGGCCCACTTTGTCTCCCACTCCTCCTTTACCTTTCTTCCCTTCCTTGGCTTTGCTCGGTGTAACTGTTGAAGTCGGTCTACTAGATGAGGCCAGCGCTAGCTCACATGAGTCGGTGGTTGGTCGGTCGGTCGGTTTGCCGGTCTGCCTCGCCGCCTCGCCTAACCTCTGGCCGGAACCCCGGTATAGTGGCCTCCCCTCTTCCCCCTCCCCCCTCCCACGCCAGCTGCCCAATCATGTAAAGTCGCTTAGACCCCTCTATTGCCTTCCTTGCCAAACGCCGAGAGGTGGTGATGAACAAAGGGCGATCATGCCCCCGACGTTGAGTTGGAATTTGTTGAATGAATCCGATATTTGAACCTCGGGTCTCGTGTCCTTCAGGCAACTTTTGCGCTTCTCATAGCGCTATAAGAATTTGAAATGTTCAGAAGACGTGGTTTGTTTATGCTCCGTGGCTAATATAAAGAAAGAAATGAAAGCAAGAGAGGATACGTAGTATGGGAGTAGAGGTTGGGGGAAGGCGGAAGGAAATAAGGAGGGGATTGAAGAGAGTAGATAGAGGTGGTTGGGGGGGGGGGTTGACCGAGGTCTGAGTCACGTGACGTCAAAAGCCTCACACAGCTGAAGTGTCGAAACGGTTGGTTGTCTACCAGTGACCGGAGGCCGTAGCTCTGTTTTCTGTGCTTTGGTGTTTGTTCAGTCGGCGCTCGCTTTTGGGGAAAAAGAGAGAGAGGGTAGGAGAGGATGTTGGCTATATGTCCTATTATTTTCATATGTAAGGATGGCTTCGTCTATTTCATTTCTGGTTGGCTTGCAAGAATTATTTTCATCTTGTAAGCCCACCCTCACTCTTCTTTCTTTCCCCCTCTTTTTTATACTTCAGAGGCAGGGGACTGAGGCAGCCAGAGAATGATACAGGTGTAGCTGATTTGTGGTGTTTAACCCCATGAACCATGAAATGCAGTAATTTTTATTGTCAGTTCTGTGGCTACGCTTCGAGAAAGTTTTTTTCATGATTTGAAGTATATAAACAAACCTTTTGAATCGATATATTTATTTACGGAAAGGAGGCCAGTAATTAGTATGTAATTCTCTTCTTGTGTACACATGACTAAAATTTACCTTGTTGCATGCTTAGTAGTTAAAGGATCACTGTATAGATCTGAGTGGTATTGTGTGTTCTCATGCCGTGTTGCAAGAAAGCATAAAACACCTTCCAATTTGATCACAGAAAAGAGCAAGGGTTGAAGTCTTCAGGTTGATTTGGATGGATGAGATGTGGTGGTTTTAGATTTCTAGAAAGTGGCAGTAGTTTCGTGTCATTGATTCATTTTCAGACTTTGGATCTATTCTCCCCTTAGCTTTCGTAAGACACTCGGTGGATATATTCTTCCTGTAGCTTTCGGAAGACACTCGGTATCTGTTTTATTAATTTTGTTTATTATTATTATTTTTTTCATTATTGTGTGTGTAGGGGGGGGGGGATCTGAAAATGTCTTCATTTGATTTTTACCAGTTTGTTGTGTATTATTTTTCTTTATTTTAATTCCGATTTTGAGAGATGGTGATTGTATCCACCACTTTTCTACTTCCTTTTTTTGGTTGACAAAGGAGTTTGAAGAGTTGAGATTTAATATATTAGTAACAGTTTTGCAGTTCTTGAAGTCTTTGGCCAGAATTAGTATTTGCATACCGACTTGGTGAATAGTATGCTTCTACTTGGTTATTTAAGGAGGATTTCAGTTTTTGAAATGATAGCCTCTTCTCTCTCTCTCTCTCTCTCTCTCTCTCTCTCTCTCTCTCTCTCTCTCTCTCTCTCTCTCTCTCTCTCTCTCTCTCTCTCTCTCTCTCCTCTCTCTCTCTCTCTCTCTCCTCTCTCCTCTCTCCTCTCTCTCTCTCCTCTGTTCACTTCTCCTCCTCCCTCTTTCTTCTCTCTTTCTCCCTTCTCTTTCTCTCCTTCTTTCTCTCTCTCTTTCTCTCCTTCTCTTTCTCTCCTTCTCTTCTCTCCTTCTCTTTCCTCTCTCTTTCTCTCCTTCTCTTCTTCTCTTTTCTCTCTTCTCTTTCTCTCTCTCTCTCTCTCTCTCTCTCTTCTCTCTCTCTCTCTCTCTCTCTCTCTCTCTCTCTCTCTCTCTCTCCTCTCTCTCTTTCTCTCTCTCTTTCTCTCTCTCTTTCTCTCTCTTTCTCTTTCTCTCTTTCTCTTTCTCTTTCTTTCTCTTTCTCTTTCTCTTTCTCTTCTCTCTCTCTCTCTTCTCTCTCTCTCTTCTCTCTCTCTCTCTCTCTCTCTCTCTCTCTCTCTCTCTCTCTCTCTCTCTCTCTCTTTCTCTCTCTCTCTTTCTCTCTCTCTCTCTTCTCTCTCTCTCTCTCTCTCTCTCTCTCTCTCTCTCTCTCTCTCTCTCTCTCTCTCTCTCTCTCTCTCTCTCTCTCTCTCTCTCTTGCTTTCTAACTTTTTTGATTTCTTGACCTTACCTGCACCTTCTGAGGTATATTTTGTATGTCCTAGAACAGCATGTGATCACTTGGAGCATTTTCCATTTTGCTCAGTTTGTTTTTAACTCATCTGTATTTGCTAAAATAAAGGGAGGTGCCCTTGATCATTTTCATATTCTTTCCTTAATAGAATCTCCCTATGTATTGACCACTTCCCTAACCTTTGCCTTCAACTACCTTTTTACCTCCTTTTGCTTTAGGAAAGCTCTCTCATTCCTCTATCCCCCCCTCCCTTTACAAGAAGAGTGTCTCTTTTGATACATTTAAGTGTCTGTATCGAGGAGAAGTGGCATGTGTTTAGCCTTCAATGGATTTTTTTCTGTGGAATTAATGTTATTGTGCTGTGCATGCAGCAGGCAGATTTATGCATCAGGAGATGGATTATGTTTTTTTTTTAAATGAGATGGAAGAGCTTCCCATTGAGGCTGCTCAGTTATTGTAGTATTGAAACTAAATTGATTTCTTTATCTTTCAGGTGGACCGGGGAGCGTTGTGATGCCCCCCCACCCTGGCAGTGGACAGAGTGATAGTCGCAACAGCAACATGCATGCACCTGGGTATCCCCCTGGTGGGCCCCCACACATGGCAACAGGCCCTCCCTCTGGGCCGCATGGCTACCCCACAAAGCTCGGCCACATGCCACCCAGTGGGCCCCCTGGACCCCCATATGGGCAGCCAGGCTATCAAGCAGGCCACCAGTACCCCCCTGTAAGACCCCAGGGGCCCATGATGCAGCCGTACCCACAAAACTTTCCCCCTGGCGGTCCACAGGGTCCTCAGGGCCCTCAGGGTCCCCCTTCTTCCATGCCGCCAGGCCATCAGTATCCCCCACGGCCCCCGCCCAACAACCATGTTCCCCCCAGCCAGCCATACGGGTATCCTCCTTTCGGGACGCAGGGTTGGGGAGGACAGACCATGAACCAGGGCCCACCGGGACCAGGTGGTATGCCCAGCTCCATGATGCCTGGGGGACCTGGTATGCCAGGGAAAGGTGGACCCGTTCAGATGCCAGGTCAGTCAAATCAACCTGGTGCCAGTAGTAGTGGTGGAGGTCCTCGACCCCACACTCCCCCACACACCCACTACCTGAAGCAGCACATTCAGCACAAGATCAGTGGGTATGGCGCAACCCAGATGTACCCCAATGGCCCCGGGATGCCCGGGATGCCCAACAGCCCCCAGAACAACATGCCACCTCCCACGTCCACCCCACAGCCAATCACCCCAACCAGCACCCCACTGGAGTCTGGGGACCACTCGGGGAGTAACACTTCTGTCAACAACACCAACCCACCTTCTATAGGCCCAGATGGGAACCCAGTTGTGGATGAGGCTTCGCAACAATCCACTGTTTCTAATACCTCTGCTGGTAAGACAGACTTGTTTCTTATTGTTAAAAAATTTATCTTGATAAAAGAAATGGTCTCGAATATCTTATTCATATTGATTCTAGTTTCTAAGTAAAACTTTAGGGTTCACTGAGTATTTTCACCCATTTCCAATCAGCAGGGCAGTGATTATATTTGGAAATTATTTGTTTTAATTTTCTGTTTATAGTTTCTATTTACAACTCTATTCTTATGATTTAATTTGTATTAGTGGTTGGAATATTCATATACTGAATCTTCCTCACAATATTCTTTAAATTTCCAGCTTCAGGAGAGGACCGTTCAGGCACACCAAAACCACATAAGGACGGCCCAATGGGAGGACCAGGAGGCATGCCAGGTGGAATGACAGGTGGACAGCACCCACCCTCCCATCCACCAACGCCCATCAACTCTGCCCCTTCACCTGGTGCTGCCTCCATGACCTCACAGCAGGACGAATTTGAAAATTTGAATTCTCCTGGCTGGCCAAGGAGCCCCAGCACACAGACGGTAGGGTTAAAGATCAGGGTTGGTAGTGACCTCGCTTCTTAGGGCAGCCCTTCAGGCTTAGGAGTGGGACGAGACATCTGTTCCTAGTTGGTCATTGCTAGGGGGGAATTTACCAGGGCAGAGGGAATTGCTTATGACTGGAAGAGAATAGCTGAGGCAAAGAAAGGTGTTAGATGTGCTCTGTATATACAATTGGTGGCTGTCTAATGTTAGGGGTAATGAATGTAGAGGTGCCAAAGTACTGGATTTTCACTGGATTATAATTACTGACCTGACATTGGTTAGAGATATATATACATTTAATGCTACTTGTAATCCATTTTAAAGATAGAGAAAAAAATTACTATTGCATTGATGTTACTCATAGTTCTATTCTCATATGCTCAACTGAAGTTTCCATTATGAAGCAATACTTATATATATTTGGGTGGTATGTTTGTTTTTCCTAATGCCAGTTTTTTTGTTGAGGCTGTGATGTTATTGACTTTTTGAATCTTTTATTTATTTATTTATTTATTTTTTATGATTATCATTTTTTCTCCAAACATGGTATTGTTGCATTCTGTGAAGCAGATTTGCTCTCCAAAAAAAAAAAAATCTATGTATAATTTACCCCTTTTTTAGAGTCCATACATATCTACAAACTGTTCTTGATGTTGGCTCTACTTTGACAGCATTGCATATAAAGCAATTCTTCTCTCACTTTTATTGGTTGCTGTGATACTCAGTTTTGTGGTTGTTAGCCAAGTGTGTTGTAGATTGCTTTGAAACGGTTCAGTGACTTTCATGAGAGTATTTCATCACAGCCTTTGTAATTAACTAATTATGCATCATTTATAGTTGGAATTTTTATTCCAAGTAAGGTTGTTCTCCTCTTAGCTATTTACTTATTTACTTTTTTTTAAAGGTAGTTTGACTGGTCTATGTTGTTATCATCTATGGGAATTTAGTCCATAAGTGGGTCAAAAAATATTATCTGCTCTTATTAAATAATGAGGATAGTCTTTTTATATTTAAATGTTTCATTAGTGAATGTTAATGTTGATATTTCATAATTTCAATGTACTTCCTCTTGGTCACCTTCTACAATTAGTGACACATGCCTTAGATTAAGGTGTTGGCTAGTTAAAGGCTGTCTTCCCTGATATGACATTGTTGCCCATTTCAAGAGAAAGAAAGGGGCAATTTTCATAACGATTCTGATAAAAGTGATGGTTACAAGTGCCTTACTACTATAGATATAATTTAAGGTATTCACTCATTCACTACATCACAAGTCATGTGCATGAAGAACACGCAAATCACTTCAAATGTTTTTAGCTGTTTGACTAAGCTATTGCACCAGCTAGCATATACTTTTGAGATGGAGAGTTGAGTGTCCTGAGGAATGGTTCAGGTCCTGTCCAATCTTCCATTCTTGGTGTGTTTGTGTTTGGTATTTCTAGTGGTTGTTGAGGGCAGTTTCATACGTTCAGAAGACGACTTTTTTACCGTTTTAGTTAAATTTGATTTGAATTTCATGAACATGTTTGATTTTCTTCTCACTTTTTTCATTGTTAACTGATGTTATGATGTTCTTATCTTGCTTGTCAGTCTTCACGTAGATATATTTTTGTTGCACAAAGAAAAATTGAAAGGGAAAATGCCAGTGGATATGAGTATGAGTGTGTAGGTGGGTGAGGGAATGTGTGTGCGAGTGTGCTTGTGGGTGAGAGTGAGCAAGTGAGTGAGTGAGTGATTGTATGTGTGTGTGTGAGAGAGAGAGTGATTGTATGTGTGTGTGAGAGTGAGTGATTGTATGTGTGTGTGAGACAGTGAGTGATTGTATGTGTGTGTGAGAGTGAGTGATTGTATGTTTGTGTGTGAGAGAGTGAGTGAGTGTATGTGTGTGTGAGAGAGTGAGTGATTGTATGTGTGTGTGAGAAAGTGAGTGATTGTATGTGTGTGTGAAAGAGTGAGTAATTGTATGTGTGTGTGAGAGAGAGAGAGATTATATGTGTGTGTGTGAGAGAGAGAGATTATATGTGTGTGTGTGAGAGAGAGAGATTATATGTGTGTGTGTGAGAGAGTGTGTGTGAGTGAGTGATTGTATGTGTGTGTATGTGTGAGTGTAAGTGATTGTATGTGTGTGTGAGAGTGAGTGATTGTATGTGTGTGTGAGAGTGAGTGATTGTATGTGTGTGTGTGAGAGTGAGTGTGTGTGTGTGTGTGAGTGTGTGTGTGTGTGAGTGAGTGAGTGAGTGAGTGTGGTGTGTGTGTGAGTGATTGCATGTGTGTGTGAGAGTGAGTGATTGCATGTGTGTGAGAGAGTGAGTGATTGCGTGTGTGTGTGTGTGAGAGTGAGTGATTGCGTGTGTGTGTGTGAGAGTGAGTGATTGCGTGTGTGTGTGTGTGTGAGAGTGAGTGATTGCATGTGTGTGTGTGTGATTGTGTGTGTGAGAAAGTGAGTGATTGCATGTGGTGTGAGAAAGTGAGTGATTGCATGTGTGTGAGAAAGTGAGTGATTGCATGTGTGTGAGAAAGTGAGTGATTGCATGTGTGTGAGAAAGTGAGTGATTGCATGTGTGTGAGAAAGTGAGTGATTGCATGTGTGTGAGAAAGTGAGTGATTGCATGTGTGTGAAAGTGAATGTGCATTGTGTGTGTGAGAAAGTGAGTGATTGCATGTGTGTGAGAAAGTGAGTGATTGCATGTGTGTGAGAAAGTGAGTGATTGCATGTGTGTGTGTGTGTTAGTGAGTGATTGTATGTGTGTGTGTGTGTGTGTTAGTGAGTGATTGTATGTGTGTGTGTGTGTGTTAGTGAATGATTGTATGTGTGTGTGTGTGTGTTAGTGAGTGATTGTATGTGTGTGTGTTAGTGAGTGATTGTATGTGTGTGTGTGTGTGTGTGTTAGTGTGATTGTATGTGTGTGTGTTGTGAGTGAGTGTATGTGTGTGTGTGTTAGTGAGCATGTGTATGTGTGTGTGTTAGTGAGTGATTGTATGTGTGTGTGTTAGTGAGTGTGATGTGTGTGTGTGTGTTAGTGAGTGATTGTATGTGTGTGTGTGTGTTAGTGAGTGATTGTATAGTGAGTGTTGTATGTGTGTGTGTGTGTTAGTGAGTGATTGTATGTGTGTGTGTGTTAGTGAGTGATTGTATGTGTGTGTGTGTGTAGTGATGATTGTATGTGTGTGTGTTAGTGAGTGATTGTATGTGTGTGTGTGTGTGTGTGTTTAGTGAGTGTGTGTGTGTGTGTGTGTGTGTTAGTGAGTGTGATAGTGCTGTGTGTGTGTGTGTGTAGTGAGTGTGTAGTGTTGTGTGTGTGTGTGTGTGTGTGTCTGATTGTAGAGTGAGAATTTTAAAGACGTTTCTTGTAATCCCCACTAAGTTTAGGTGTCCAGTCATTTTGTGTGTGTGTGTGTTTTTCTTTTTTTTTTTTTTTTTTCTTTTTTTTCTTTTTTTTTTTTTTTTTTTTTTTCTCTTTTGCACAAATGCCCAACCCACGATACCTTCAGACTTGGAGAAGTCACAGCTGTCAGTCTTGTATATCAGATAAAACCAACCACCAACATTTTGAGTGGATGTGGAGTTTCAAGGGGGTATTTTGTGTGAATG